CACACCTGTCAGCTCTCCACACCTGTCAGCTCTCCACACCTGTCAGCAGCTCTGTGCACCCGTCAGCTCTGCACACCCATCAGTCAGCTCTCCACACCTGTCAGCTCTGCGCATCTGTGAGTCAGCTCTGCGCACCTGTGAGTCAGCTCTGCACACCTGTGAGTCAGCTCTGCGCACCTGTCATCTCTGCGCACCTGTCAGCTCTGCGCACCTGTCAGCTCTGCACCTGTCATCTCTGCGTACCTGTCAGCTCTGCACACCTGTCATCTCTGCACACCTGTCAGCTCTGCGCACCTGTCATCTCTGCGCACCTGTCAGCTCTGCACACTTGTCAGTCAGCTCTGTGCACCTGTCATCTCTGTGTACCTGTCATCTCTGCACCCCTGTCATCTCTGCACCCCTGTCAGCTCTGTGCACCTGTCAGTCAGCTCTGCGCACCTGTCAGTCATCTCTGCGTACCTGTCAGCCATCTCTGCGTACCTGTCAGCTCGGCACCCCTGTCAGCTCGGCACCCCTGTCAGCTCGGCACCCCTGTCAGCTCGACACCCCTGTCAGCTCTGCACCCCTGTCAGCTCTACACACTTTCCAGCCAAGACTTATATCAGCCTGAACCAAACATCCTTCCCATGAGTGTAAGTTAAGGCCCTGGAGTCCTAAAGGGTTTAATGTGAGACGGCAGAGCTCCAGCCTCAATGACTGAAATTTGAGTTAAGAGAAAAATAGAATCAAATCACAAGCACCTGATGCCCAACAAGTGGGGGGTGTTCCTTCTTAACCCCAGAGGCCTCGTGGCCTGGGCCTGGCAGAGCATTCTGCTCTTCACTCCCTGGCTACCGTGAGCAAATTATTCCCTTCTCCCGTGTCTTCTAAGAATGGAGAGAGTACCTGCCTCACAGGACTAAGGGGCAGCTCCCAGCACATAATAGATGCTTAACAAATAGTAGGTCCCTCTCTTCAGGTGAGCATTCAGCTGTGGCCTGTCCTGGCAGAGCCCAGAAGAACACCTTCTGAAGCGGTGGGAGCAACCGAGTTTTCTGATGGAATTCACCAGGTCTTAGCACTTTGATTATTCATCAGGTGACTGAGGCGAGAGGGCTGTGGGTTCCACAGGGTCCCTGTGGTTCCCTTGCTGCTGCAGTGTTACTGGTCCTAGCTGCTGGTTCTGCCCCACCTGTCACTCATGGACAGGGTCTGCTGTCTCCACCACCTGGGCTCCCATGGCGGTTCTGCAGCTGCCACCTTCTGAAGATCACGGGGTGTGTCCGTACAGTCTTCCTCCATCGTAAATGTCCCCCTCGGTGCCCCATAAGCCTTGCCCTCTGTGCTCTGGCACAGGGGAGGTAGGGAGAGAGCAGAAGAAAAGCAAAGCCAGACTTAGGTGTTTGTTTTGATTTTATTTTGCGGGCAAGGTATGTGGTGGCATTTTACTGTTTAATGTCTGCTTCTAGGGAGTTTGCCATCTGCCTGGGAGTAATGGCTGCAGCTCATTAGTCACCAGCGAGCTAGAGCCTGGCTGTGCAGATTCCAGTAAATAAGATAACAGATGCTCGGCGGGGCTGCGGGGACACAGCCAGCCCATGGGCTGCAGGCGTGGCCAGGAGCTGCCTCACCACTGTGCTGCAGGAGTGCAACTTTCAGGGGTTCCAGGCAGCCCAGGGTGGGCCCTGGAGTGGAGGGCTGTGGAATTGGGGTCCCCTGCTCTTCCCCAGCCCGGCTTGCCTTTTCTTTTTGGTCCTGGGCCCCTGGAGTCTGGGGGCTCCTGGGACCGGGTTTGGCTGCTGCTTGGAGACAGAATCAGCTGCAGAAGCCGGACTGAGGATGGTGAGAAGCAGGACGAGCCTCAGAATGCTCGCGGGCTTTTCTCTTCTCATCCCCCAGACAGCTGATGTGTTCAACCTTAAACCAAGACATGCTTGCTCTGCACGCTGCGTTGGCCAAGTCACATTCAGAATCGTGTTTTAACTGGGGGTGGAATTGGAGCTGACATGTGAGCATCTGGAGGTGTTCTAAGGCTTTTCTGGAAGGTCTAGGGTCTACTTTGCTGTTGTCAGAAGAGAGGAGTGGGGCGGCTTGTGTGAGAGAAAAAGCGGAAAGAAAACAAAATATGATCTTCGCTTGGTGCAAGGAAAATGCACAAGACCCCAGGAAACCCGGAGCCAGTGAGCAGTGCCTCCCGTGGACAGTAGTGGCTGTGGGGCTCTTTCTCGGGGTGCACTGCTGTGTCTCCTACCCTGCCTGTGGCTCTGGGGAGGCTGACACGGAAGCTCTAGCACTTTCCCAAAACCGTAGCCATCAGACAGTTAAATCCTTCCTTCCTGTTCCACTCGTCAGGAAATGTACAGAGACACTTAGAAATATTTTCACCAATAAGCATCCAAAGAGTGATTACTGCTTATTCAAACAAGTAAGTAAGAACGAGAATCCTTTATTGCCATTTCCCAAATTCCCCGAGGCTTTCTAGTACCTGAGGCTTTTTCTCCACAACTTTGGCAGGAAATAGGCGGCTCTTGAAGGGCGAGCTTTCTGGATAACGGAGCATCCCCCTAATAAACACTGCTTGGTTTGGGCTCAGACAGCCTGGTTAGTGTCCCCACGTCAGAGCCGAGAGTGAGCTGGCAGGGATCCTAGAGGGGTCCTTAGAGGGGTGTTTGCATCTTAAGAGTGAGCAGGAATGATACGCTTTTAAGCCCAGAAGACGGATGTGAAGACAGAGTTCTTGTGCTGAGAAGGCGGTGGGGGGATCCGGCAGCTCCCCAGGCGGGGCGACCATCACGACTCTGGAATGGGGCCCGTTCCGACACCTGCCGCGGAGTGCAAGGGTTTCTGACGATCCCCGCTGCTGATTCCGCACCCATCTCGGGGTCGGGTGTGTGGGAAGAGGCCGGGCTGGCCTAGGATTCACCTGTTTTGAAAGCACAATTGCTGAGATTCCAGGAGCCTGCTTGCCCCTCTTGAGATCTGCCCTTAATGTTAGGCCAAGGCCCAAGCCAGGCATTTACGAAGGATGGCCAAGCCTGGCTGGGAGCCAGCTGCAGGCATCTGCCACCACCTCCACCCTCTGAGTCACCCCACACTCATCACTCGAGGCGCAGAGCCCTGAGGCATGTTCACTGGCATCTTCCAGCACGAGCTCCAGGGGGATGGATGGTTGGAAGGAAGGGTGATCCGAGAGCGGGCAGGAGTTGGCGGGGAAGAGAATCGTGCTTTCAGCAGACCTGGGTGTGAGGTGCTTTAAGTGCCTGTCTGGGGCGTTCGGATTTCCAAGGCTTTGGGATAGTGAGCCTTGGATGCCGGCCCAGGGCCCTCGGGGGTCTCACAGGCTACAAGACTTGTAGCTGCCCCTCCCAGGCTGCCTGGAGGCCGGGCCTCAGGCCGCGCAGCCATCTGTCCTGGTTCGCCTTGGAGGAGAGACTTCGGAGGGAGGGGCTTTCTGAGGCCTCTAGTTTTTTTCTTTCCTGTTCCCCTTCCTTCTCAAAGCCCAGCCTAATCCATGGGAGCCATCTCCCCGACTGTCTCCTGAGTGGAGAAAAAAGATGTCCGCGGGTGGCCCAGGGCCCCTGGTGTTTGTCCAAGCACTCTGCAACCTGCAGTAGACTCCCTTGCTATGGAACACAGTCCTGGGGCTCGCCCACCTGCTGAATGCGCGTCACCCGGTGCTGGGCTGTGCCTTTGTGCACTTCAGACCGGCTCTGCAGGAGACAGGCCTCCTGTTTCCCTGCTGCTCTTTCATCTAAAGAACAAAATCATGGGCCTTCTGGCCTAAGGTCCAACTGGTCATTGAGTCGAGCAGTTTCCCCTCAAATCATTTTCACTCATGAAGGGAGATAAGTAAATCCTTGTGCAATTGCAATATATATATATATATATATATATATATATATATTTTTTTTTTTTTTTTTTTTTTCAATGAACTCCAAATGCCAGGGCACTGTGGTTCAGCCAGCTGTGCCTTCTCTGGAATACTGTCAACAGACTAGAGTCCTGCCAGACGCACTTGACAATGAAATCAACCTGAGCATCACCCGGTCCCTGGTGCTGGACTCTGTTGGCACCACTTTGAGAAAGTCCGGAGTGCAGTGAGTGAGGACACTGGGAGACGGTGGGGACCCCAGGCCGCTGTGGCTCGGGCTCTGCACGTTTAAATATCCACCGTCTTCTGGCTGCGCGTTGGTCCCTGTACTTACTTGGCCAGAGGGAAGGGGCTAGTTTGTGGAGGGGGGTTAGGGAACCATGGCATCAGCACCCCCCCGCTCCAGGCCGTCCCCCGCAGGCTTCCCCAGCATTTCTTCTCCAAGCGGTTTTTCCGTTGGCCATCGTCTCTACCGCACCCAGATGTATCTCCTCTCTCCCCTGTTGGGTCGTCTTCTGAGAGTAGCTATCGAGTCACCCACCAATTCAGAGAAGGGTTCGGATGGATGAGTCCTCTCTCCTGGCTTCCTTTGGAATGCTGCCTTGACCCAAGTGCAGGGGCAGGGAGTGCAGGAACACGCAGTGGAATCACTTGTGTAGGTTTGGGACGCCACACCCTGCTGGGACTTCCCTGTTGGAGGACCTGGGCTTTTGGCGGCTAGCAAATCATTCTTCCTGCCTCCGTGGCAACCACGCATCTAAGCTGGGTTCGGGAGGTGCGGCGCCGGCCATTTCAGATCATAGGTGGGGAAGACAGCACCCCGTGCCCTGATGGGTACGTGTGCCATGGTGCTTTGGCATCAACAGGCCATTTGAAACTGGAGAATTCTAGAGAATAAAGTATGACTATCACCCACAACACAGCTGCTTCCTGAAAATTCCACTCCCACAGCACAGAAAAGCACATGGCACGTTCCAGGATTCCTGATGTACGCACTTTCCCCCTGTTCTGCAGGTTGCTTGTGTTTCTTCCCCCACCCCATGGGTCTGGTGGGGGTTGACTGGTCACTTTTTGGTCAGCTTTACTGAGGTATAATTTACATAAAATAAAACCCATTGATTGACAGTATATAATTAGGTGGGTTGTTGTAAATGTGCACTGTCATGTGACCACCACCACTGTGTGATCTAGAACATTTCCACCGCTCCAGAAGGTCCCTCTGTCCCTTCCCCACCTCCACTTTAAGGCCTGAGTGTGGGTCCATGTCTTACCTTTGCATACCCCATGTCCAGCACAATTCCAACCCAGTAGGGACACAAGTGATGTTTAAATGAGTATGTTAGGAGCACTGGGTTTTGTTTTTTTTTTTTGTTTTTTGTTGTTTTTTTTTTTTTGAGACAGAGTCTCACTCTGTTGCCCAGGCTGGAGTGAAGTGGTGCAATCTCGGCTCACTGCAACCTCCATCTCCCGGATTCAAGTGATTCTCATGCCTCAGCCTCCTGAGTAGCTGGGACTACAGGCACACACCACCATGCCTGGCTAACTTTTTGCATTTTTAGTAGAGACGGGATTTCGCCATGTTGCTCAGGCTGGTCTCGAACTCCTGAGCTCAGGCAATCTGCCCACCTCAGCCTCAAAGTGCTGGGATTACCAGTGTGAGCGCCGTACCCAGCGGGCTCTGGCATATTTTAAAAATCCTCCCAAGACTCCTGTTTCCTCTCATTGATCCTAAGTTTTGAAAGATTGTCCACCCAAGCATTTGTTAATTAGTAATTTCTTCATTTAGTCACCCTGGTACCAGCCTCCCTGATCAGCATGAGATAATCAGCGTGACCAAAGTTGTTAAAATTCCAGCTGAAAGCAGAGACGGGCTGTTCTCATTTGCCTGTGCAGTCACGGGTGAAACGTGCAATTTCCTTTCACTCCTCGAGTGCCTGTGAGCACTGCAAGAGCCTCCATTCTTACATTTTGTTCTCTCTCACCCTAGACCAGAAATCGCCAGCCTTCGTCACTGCCCTTTGCCTTTTTCTTCTTTCAATAATAAATGGGGAAGTTAGCCCTTGAGCAATTTAGGAGCTCTCTCAAGAGCACTGCAAAAGGCTTTCTCAGTTTATAGGGATTTTTCTCTGTCCCAAGCTGTTTTTTGTTGTTGTAGTTGTTAAGACAGAGTCCCGCTCTACCGTCAGGCTGGAGTGCAGTGGTGCAATATTGGCTCACTGCAACCTCCACCTCCCGGGTTTGAGCGATTCTCCTGCTTCAGCCTCCCGAGTAGCTGGGACTACAGGCATGCACCACCATGCCTGGCTAATTTTCGAATTTTGAGTAGAGATAGCGTCGGCCAGGCTGGTCTAGAACTCCTGACCTCAAGTGATCAGCCTGCCTTGGCCTCCCAAAGTGCTGGGATTACAGGCATGAGCCGCTGTGCCTGGCCTATCCCAAACTTTGTCACCAAGGATTCGATGTGTCCCTTCATTCTGCCTACCTGAACTCCCTTTCACATGCACGTTGGGGAAGGATCTTGGCGAACCTGAAGGTAAAGTTGAATCTGCCTCTTTCCCCTCATCAAAGCTCTGAGAAGGAAGAATCTACGACGTCCCGGGTTCCGGAATCACAGCATATTGCCCCTAAGCTCAGTTAAATATTTGAAAGTGATAACTCATGTTTCCAGAGGAGTACCATGCATCACAGTCTTGTCTTTGTTAACTCATATGCATTGTGTGTTTCTATACTTGTAAATGTTAACTTATTTTCCCATAGGAACTCCCATGATTCCCATGTTTTAGATTAAAAAACAGAAATGAAGTGACTTTCCCAGGGTTCCATAGTCTCAAGATCACCTATGGCTACATAACAAACTACCCTAAAACTTAAAAATATGATTTGCAATCATCTTTCATGGATTTAGGGGTTGTCTGGCTCAGCTGAGTTCTCACTGGGGGTTCCCCTTATTTGGAGAGTCAGATGGTGGCTGAGCCCGGCGCATCCAGAGGCTCCTTCACTCTCACATCGGGCCCCTGGGCTGGTGGTGCAGATCTTTCTCCAACCATGCAGCCTCTCCACGTGGCTGGCTTGAGCTTCCTCGTAACATGGTGGTCTTGGCGCAGATTCTTAACGTGGCAGCTGGTTTCACCTGGGCCAGATATTACAAGAGATCTAGGAGGAACTGCAAGGTTCCTTCTCACCTAACCCGGAAGTCAGGTGGTATGGTTTCTGCTGCATTTCTGTTGAGCACAGCCGCCCAAACTCAAGGATGGAAGAACAGACTCACCCTCAGAGTAGGAGTCAGTACATGCATGCCGGGAGGACTGCATTCCTAGTGGCTGTCCTGAGGGCCACCTACCCCATGAGCCATGTGCCAGCCATGCCTTGAGCTGCTTCCCCAGCGGCTTTCAAACTTTGACAATGAGCCACGGGAAGGAACTTCACAGCATGACCTGGTTGGATACACACAGCCAGAAAACTCCTGGAGCTCTGGTTTGTTCTATGAACAGCAGCTGCAACAAAACCTGTTTGTCCTGCGTGGATTTCATGACCAATGTCCTGCTCGTAGTTGGAGAAACGGGGTTCCACACGATGCTGCCTCAAGTGCCTACTCTGTGCTGTGCTGGAACACCCCAGACTAAAGAAAACAAATGTCAATTTGGGTTACACAGATGCCACTTCTCACCAGTCCAGCAGAAGTCCAGAAGTTGGACAAAACGATCTGTTGGTGAGGCAGTGGGGGAAATAGACTCTCTCCTACAAAAGAATATGCCATGGATACCCCCAAATCCCTACGTTCTGATATTGAAAGATCTCCCAGATATGCGAGGCAGCAAGGCATGGAGCAAAACAGGGAAGAGGCAGGGAATATCCTTTGTACCTGCACTTGCCTAAAGCAACCCTAGCTGTCTACACAACTGAAAGTGGTTCCTCTGGGGACCTGGCATGGTTAGGCCAAGGGTCGGGGAGGGACTCTTCCATTCTAGATTGTTATGTTTTGACTTTCGAATCCTATGAATTTACTTCTGATCAAAAAACAAAAGTTGGATAACATAGCCGTTGCCGTCAGAGTCCTCACAATCTACACAGAGACACAATTTATATGTAATAGCAAATGGGTAACACCTGAGTCATCTTAAATTCTCAGGCATTAAAATGCAGTGGAATAAGATATTACCTTCAACTGGACTGCTCAGAAATGTTGGTGTAAATCTGTGGGAATCAGCTAGTTTTTGAAGAATGAGTAGGATATAAATGGGTGAGAGAAAAAGGGTCAGAGGGCTAGAGGTAGGAAGAAATGGTGTGAGCCACTGCTGCTCAAATTTTGTGACAAAGAAGGCCCCATTTGAAGGGAGAAAACTTACTGATGGCTGTGCTTGAACTCCAATGTGATAAATATCGCCTTAAATTCTTAAAGTGTTTTTAATCACAAATCATCGGTGTCAAGGAATTCCGGCTCCCCAGCTGTGCCTGGCCACCTTTAAAATCGCTTATCTTAGCCAGGCACAGTGGCTCGCGTCCATAATCCTGGCACTTTGAGAAGCCGAGGCAGGCAGATCCCTTGAGTTCGAGACCAGCCTGACCAACATGGTGAAGCCCCATCTCTAATAAAAATACAAAAATTAGCCGGGCATGCTGGTGCACTTCTGTAATTCCAGCTACTCTGGAGGCTGAGGCAGGAGAATCACTTGAACCCAGGAGGTGAAGGTTGCAGTGAGCTGAGATTGTGCCATTATACTCCAGCCTGGGCAACAGAGCAAGACCCTGTCTCAAAAAAAAAAAAAGATTGCTTGTCTATGATAAGCTTAACCTTGTGGGAATCCCGAGCCCCCAGTTTGAGGGAAGCTGGTGTGAGGTGATTAAAGAGGAGTAGAGGGTGTCACGAGACAGCGTGCAGGTCAGGGGGCCAGCGCAGAAGAGCAGTGTGGGAGAAAGGAGAGGGTGATGCCGATGCCGGGTCATGTCCTGGGGTGCGCTGAATGCCAGGCAAGGAATTGGGCACCTTCTTCTGCAGGTAGCAAGCAGCCACAGAAGGTTTCAGCCAGCAGGTCCCTGTTGAATGTTCATTCTTTTCCCTAAGCTGGGCACGCAGATAGCCTAGGGAGAACTCGCCTACTGTGGTATTTTGGTTCTACCCTTTAAGCCATGAAAACAGGGCAGTGCAGACTAAGCGGGGACCAGGTGGGCCGGGGGAGCACCCCTATGAAGCTTCGGTTTTCCCTCCACCTGTGGAGTTCCCCTGTCTTCTTCATGGACCTCTCCGAAGACTGTCTCCCACATTCGTTTGAAAACAGATCTTTGGGAAATGTTGGCACCCTTGGCCATCCTGGAAGGTCAGAGTCCACTCAGTTTGGGCACGAAGACCTGGGACGTGGCAGCCTCGTGTTGCACAAGTGGGGGATGGAGGGGCGTCCCTGGGCCTCGTAAGTGCAAAGGGCAGAGGTTCGTGATCCACGGGGCTTCCAGGATCCACCGGCGAGAACCAAGAGTGAAACCAGAAGCGCCGGCAATGCCAGGGACAAACTACCCAAAGGGGACAGTCCTCTGGCTCTAGGAATGTCCCACGGGACCTGACCCAGAATCTTCTGCGCTTTCTCCATGAGAAAGAAAGATCCCAAAGCCTTCTGAGAGGGTGTAGATGGCACACGCTGAGGCCACACTCAGGGCAGAGCCTCTTCCCCGCTCTCAGCAGCCACCAGCCCGGCAGAGCGGCCAGGCTGTACGGGGACTCCATCCTGCACACGAGGACATGAGTCGGGGACACCTCAGTGACCAGGCCCTGCTCAGGGAGGGGTCCAAACTCTGTCCTCAGAGATGACGACTTTTCACCCCATTCCTAGGACGTGAGAGGCAGGCTTGCTGCTTTTTCTGTTTTGAAAAAACAAAGCCGCAAACAGCCCCCTGTGTTTTTTGTACCTGACTCCCCACCAGAACAGCGGCTGGTCTGGAAGTTTCTCCTCCCCTGGTGACTGGCCTCACATCTCAGCAGTTTTCTTCCCCTCTCCTCCTTATATAACAAGCCCCTCTAGAACAG